TCGATACTACACTAAATCTTCTCAGAATTACAGATCAATGATATATTGTTTCGATTTGGGCGAAATCGGGATTTTTTGGCGTTACTTTCATTGCCGTTAGCTGGAGGACCAAGAGAAGGGAAGCGCTTTAATGCCAGTTGATAGCTTATTTCTCTCCCTACGGCCGTTAAAATCAAACAGACAGGCACTACATGTTTTGAGAAACGAGTGCAATTAAATCGTAAAATTATGTTTGACTAACCTTTGTAATGCTTCATCGCGTTGAGATTGAATTTTTATTTTTATTTTTATCTTTCGAACTTTTGAGGCTAGAACGCCAGCAAATATTACTCGACTTGGATTTGCCACAAATTGACCTCTGACACCAGTTTCACAGCAGAAAAGCTGTTTTAAAAGGAAGCGGAACGAGCTTTTCGGGTCGCGAGAAGGCCGCGCTAGCGGCGAAATCGCGATAAGTCTTCATGTCGCGAGCCAAATTTTAAATAAGGCGAAGGACTTCTTCGAAAGTCTAAAATATTACTTGAGAACGTAACCAACAAATCTCCGTCGGCGGTGCGGTCCGGAAGGATATCTTGCCGCGTCAATATGACAGTTCTATTGTCTTTTTAAGAAAGAACAGATGATGCTCGCGCGTGCGCATAGTCGGGACACTGTCCCTTTAAGAGGCCCTCTCAGGGCTCCAGGAGGGTTACGTACGTCTCTAGTCTGAATTTCAAAACCTGTTGTTCCACGTATTTAGGGGGAAGCCATATCGCTGTCGGTATTTTACTACTGATTTTTCGCTTTTCTATGTCGTTGTCGTAGTTTCAACCCATCTTTGTGTCACTTCTCACCATTTCTGCTCCATTGTCGCTGTTCAAAGGCTATGTCGCTTGTCGGAATTTACCCTAACGGGGCTCCTGCCCTAACAGGGTCTTCCCTAGGGACAAAGGAAACTGACCGTGTCATAAATACGTCAAATCACTTTATTGTGTCAATCAAGTTATATGTAGACTTAGATGTTGGAAATGTTGAGGACATCGTATCATTCTTCGTAATTTTGGCGGCCGCATCATGAACAGTTTTTTAGTTCATGTTCTGCCGTTATCTGGAGAAAACGAAGCGCTTTTGAAATGGAAGTTTACTTGTCTTTAAAAACGTGCGTGAAAGATCATGGGGATAGTTTTAGCTGAGCGATGTAGAAAGAAGGATTTCATTAGTATGTGCTGAGGGGCCCTACTTAGCTGTTCGGTAAACATTTTGGTCTTAAACAACTAAGCGAATAATTTTGAATCTCTCGATGGAATTTTTTTTTTTAATTTGAGATTCTCGAGACTAACCGTCGTTTTGTATCACCCTTACGGTTGGAGATTATTGATATCGTGTAAAGCAGTAAAATACGAAGGGCTGGGGCGACCTCAAAGGTTTCACGCGTTTAAGGCATAGCCTCTTCTTCTCCCTCTCGATCAAGAAGACAAAAGGTGGCTTTGATCACCGGGTGGAGTCCTCATGATACGAGATATGATTTTCCTGTTACCATGTAAACTCTTTTCTAAGTTTAGGTGGCCTTTCTTCTGTCTCTGGTACAGTCGACTCTCTTTTAACGGAATTTTCTATAAAAAGGGTATCTCGGTAAAAGGACATCTACAGTTGGTCCTTTCCTTTCTCTGATCCCTTTATTTGACTGTTTATAAGACGGGCATCAGTCTTCGACAAACACTCAGTGCGCGCCCCAAAGGTGTTCCTCTTAGAAAAAGTTGACTGGTGTTTGATGCTCCCACTAGCGTTTATTGTTGTTGTTGTTTTTGTACTGGTGAAGCAGTTTTTAACCTTGTTAGAGGAAGCTTCTATACGTGAATGATAAGACGTTTTTTAATGAGCAACGAGAGGAGAATGTACATTTTGTATAAATTTTCAAATCTGACCACTGCAGACTTATTGTCTCGACTAGCAGCTTATACATCACACCCTAAATGTCTACATAGCCGGTATAACTCACTTATCAGATAAGGAGGAAAGGTTTAAATTTTATAATCTTAGCCTTCTGAGTGCCTCGGCGTTATCTTTTTATAAGGAAGTAAGTGTGTGGACATACTGATCAACCACCCTAAGGACGCCCGAACAGACAAATTCAGCCCACCTAAATAACGTAAAATCTCTCCAATCTCGTTTTTCATTCTAACTGGTTAACTTTAATATCGAGATGGGACTTCATATCTAGTTTTCCACTAGTGTTAGACACTTAGGAGACCTGAAAGCAGCATAAGAGAGCTTTAGCAGCCGTTGTCATCTGTCAACTATTTTCTCTGGTCACGCATAAAACTTGCATACAATACATGACCTAGAATAAAGAATCAAAAAGGGGTTTTAAATGTAAAAAACAACTGTGTGAGTTAGTTTTCCTTTCTTTTTAGGTCTTCTCTGCTAATTAGTGGGAGCGTGATTCTTTCAGTCTTAAGACTGCTTTATCGTGGATTAAGCGGTATTAGGAATGTACCTCGGTCAAAAAAGCTGCATAATGAAAATATCTTGTCAAACCTGGCCTAACCGGGAATAACAAAAATTATTTACTATTTGATAGGTAACTTTTCTATACATACCAGGCGCTGTAAAATAATTATCGTTTTTAGTGAAGGAATCTCAGGCTTTTAGAAGGCAAGCAGTATTGAAAGCCAGTTTACTATTTATTAAAAAACTGATTTAAGATGTCAGCAAGTGGAAATAAAAATTGTCAAGTGGTTAATAAAACTATTTACCTCTGAGTTTTTACTTTTTTACTACATGTGTAGTTAGATTCTCGGAATATCGTGTACATGTTGGATTGAAAAGTCTGAAACTGGATTTCCAATGTATGCAAGGTCTTAGCAGTGGAAAGATGTAAACGCCTATATATGTTAATTTAAAGCCTGACAACGTGCAGTTTATTCATTTGACATGCCGAAGTTGGAATGGAGGGTTTCACTAAGGGGGATAGCCTGCGTAGCAGGCGTTAAAAAGGGAAGGGGAAGCAGGAATTCTGGCGCGCGAGGATGTTGAAAACGGGAACCTTTTCCTCTCTTTTCCCTTTTTCTCCCTCCTTGCGCACCCCTCGCGCTCTCACGCGCCCAATTCCCGCGTCCCCCTTCCCCTTTTAAAGCTGCCACGCAGGCTACTTTTAGGGAATTAATACTAGCTAATTAGGCCCTTCTACTGCTACTGAAGGTGGTTTCTTAAGGGTGGCGGTTGTGTACATTGGCTTGCACCTCACACAGACTGCAAGCAAATGTGACGTAATATCTCTTTAAGAACAACACAAAATCTTAAGATTTAAAAGGGAGTTAAAGACTCTACTTCTACTTACAATGAATGTTTTACATGTTCTTCTGAAAAGTGGATCTGAAAATCAGATGGGTTATTTTTCAAGTCCACCTTCAGCTTACCCTTTACTGACTGTTTCGAACTGGCCCAGAAAGAAATGTTTCCTTAAAGTTCCATTTAAGGGATTGCATGTGACTAGGGAAAGCTTTTTGAACTTAATCCATACTTGTCGCGCCAAGATGGTAAGGGTCATCGCCAAAAACCTTTAATATCAACTTGGCTTTTTGAAAGAAGGTCCAGTTTGCTAAAAGGGACCATAATCAACTATTTAATAAGTTAAATCATGAAATAAGTGCAAATGCAATAATTTGATTGAATGTCCAAGAAAACGGCTGATGGTTGATAGAGTAGCGGGCCTCCGCGTTCTTTTTCTTTCAAGAAAACATAGTGTGTAGTAATAAGACTTTCTAAGACCCAGTACGTGGTATACTGCACGAGTTAAATGCTTATACTCATCCACGCTTTGCCAAGAGAGTTATATCTCAGGTTTGGCCAGCCGCCTGCCTCTTTACAGGGTACATTGAGTTTAGGAAATAGACTTAAGATTATTCTTGCTCTTCCAAATATCAATAAAAACTGGTTAATTTTAGGAAGAGCTATGAAACGGGGAGTCTTTAGAAAGAGTTGGGCTAAAAAACAACACCATGACTAAACTATTTTCACAGACTTAAGCTCCTGAGAGAGCGCCTTTGTCTTTTAGACTAAATACTAAGAGAATTCGCACTGTGTATGAAATTGACCGAAATAATTGCAAAGAATATAGACGTGCATATCATAGCGTTTTTATTACCCAATCAGTTTGTTTTTACTTGTTAAGCCGGATTTGTAATACTTAGCTGATTTGTTAAACGCGAGCCCAGGAAACGCAGTTGAACCACCGCTATAAAACAAATCCTTCAATATCGACAGCCACTACATCTAGATTCAGCGGCCAGATGGAACTCAGAAAATTTGCACCTTTTGTCTTTCTCCTATACCTAGGCGTTCTCTCCACAACTGTTAAAGGTATATATACCACAGTGTTTGTCCTTAGATATTCTATAATTAGGAACATTTTTTTAACAAAAACCTTTAAATTTCTATCTTGTAAAACCTAATTCATTTCGTTCAAAGTCTTTTGAATTTTTCGGGATGTGTTATCTTTACAAGTTTGGGGAACATATCACGCCCGTTCCCTCGTTTTATGTAACTAAATTTGTGCTCGAGCTCACGACTAGCTAAGGAACGCACTAATCACTTTGTTTAACTGACGTTTCTGCGGGTCTCATCGTGAAGAAAACCGTGGAGGAGGTCACAAAATCAAACCACTGGAAAATTACAAATGAATGATTTAAAACTTTGAGGTAACTGTCTCCTAGCTTTATGGACTGAACCTTATAGCATTCTGTCTCAAAAGAAAGTCTCATATCGATGTATTTTATTATCTCCTTGTTTTTTGTTTGCTGATCCTGTACTTCCCTTTTTCGGGAAAATACGATTACATTACGAAAGCCTAGATCAATTAACTTGTTTGTTGCATCTCGGTTAAAATCTTAAAAAAAAACACTTTCTGTTATGAGGCTACCACTTGAAAAAAAACGGAACAAAATGGCTAAAAGGGGACGCTCAGGCAATTATTAATACGATGTTTCATATGCTTAGAAGACTTTGCAGTTTGCGGTAAGGTTTTTAAAAACCTTCCCTATTACACTCCACACCCACATTCTGATTAACGCGGAATTTTTATCTATTTCAAATTTTCGAAGGAATTAAATAGTGATATCTGGCAGTTCAGCGATCCGCTTTTAACAAAGAACTTTAGACAAGGTTATGTTATTTGATTTTCATATCCAGTCCGAACCAGTCCATTCCCCCCTTCTACCCAGCTGTCGTAACATTTAAGATACTTTCAAGCAGTATCTGAAAAATCAGAATCTTCCCTTCCGTGCAGCTGTGCTTTAATCCAATCAGAGATAACTGTCATTGACGGCTTTTGGTACAAGGAGCCGAGCTCGCGTAATGTTACGCTTAGCAAAGCGGTAATTTGATGGTTCAGAGAACTGGATCTCTAGACATTTAGATTTGCTTTCAATTCGTCCCACTGACTGTTAACGAAAAAGTGTGAGAGGAGTCACAATCGGGTTGCTAATGATTGATTTTGACGGTGGGATGAACTTTATTGAGAGTGAACGTGATAATAAACACAAAACAACAACTTATGATTGTACATGTAATTTGAAAAATCTCTTGAAGATAATTAAAAAGTTTTGTACCTTTCTGATAGTTTTTGGCTCAAAACGTTTTGGAGTGTGCGTATATCGAGCTCATGGTCATAAAGAAATGCCATTCACCAACTTGTTTTTTTCTATATCTTAAGAGCATTTTGGGTATTTCACATTTAAATAGCTGTATATGTGTAGAAATCCTCTTCCTAAGCGCTAAGCTGCGTTCTTTTAGAGCATCATTCGGCCATTTTCGTGTTCCTTTAGGTAGAGTTTCAGTTTACTTGCAGACAGCGAGTTGACTTCAACCTCGTCGGACCAATTAATGTCTGGAAGTTTGTTCCTTTCCGTTGCCCGTTTTTTTGCTTTCATTGCAAGGAATTTTTGGTGCTCTATGAAGTGATGACTGACAACTATGAAACAGAAGCATGTGGCATTCCTCAGCTAGAAACTGTGTAGACCTAGAAACCCTCTCGCTGTTTAAATCAAGAACAGACCTGGCATGTCTGTGGGACCTCTTAAATGCCAAATGTTTTATTGGCAAAGCTCACAACGTGGTTTGTGACTTCTGTGCATGGACGATTGTTTCAATCTATCATATGTTGACATTCTAAATAAGTTAAAGCATGTGTTTATGTTGATGCAATATTTAGACATTATGGATAGTCAAAGGAGTGGCATCTGTCTATTTGGAAAATGTTTATTTATTCATTATCGAATTTGTGAAATTTAATTAAGACCCCCCCTCAACTTACTTGAGAAATCTAATGTAGAGCCCCCCCCTCCTTTCCATTATTTTAACTTAAGGCCCCCCTCTGGTTTTAGGGCCCCCCCCCCTCCTGATAATTATTGCACAGTCCCTTATAGGCATTTCCTATCAAGTTGGAAAACTAAACACGTCAGAGACACGTCAAGGATGGAATTGCAACAGCGGGTGTGAGGCACCACAACATTGTACACTGCCCCGCTGCACGAACGTGGTATTTCCGCAAACGTTTACTGGATCTGGAACCGTAAGTAAACCCTACTAAAGAAATTATGAAGTGGCTTCCTCTAATGGGTTCGCGAAAACTTTCTTATGTAAGCAGACCGTAATAAGCTTCTTTAGAAACTATCCTCTTAACAAATTTTGATTTGCCAACATTGTGGCTTTTATGATGTTATGACCTCAGCGAATTTAGTGCACATAGGTATATTCAAGTGTTCCATAATCCCTAAAATGCGTCGTGTGTTTTTAAACAAAACAAAAAAGTCAGAGGATTCTGACCATAAATTTAGTTTGGAAAATATCTAATCCTTGGAATAGGACCAGGACTGGGGGGTGGGGAGGGGTGGGGGCGTCAATTAAGGGTGGCAGTTTTGCTTACTAACCATCGCTATTTGTAACAACTTGTTATATATGATGTTATAACATAGAAGGTTCTAATTTTAAATTGTTTGGTAAACAGTTGATGCATCAGGTGGTATAAGACCCAAATAAATATTGTCTTGTCTTGTCTTGATTTCTCATTAATGCATATTTCTACCTGACGCATTTCAGGTTCGAGTATTTGTATCATTAAGCCACGAAGATCAGTCATCAGTTGTTCATTCACCTTCTGCCTTGTGGGCAGAGTCCATTAGTACAGCTGGATTTCAGTTATGCTCGCGTGGAACAGGTTCTACAAATGACACTGGAATAATCAACTGGGTAGCGTTTCAGGACAAACCCATGTTAACGCATGGGAGCGTTACTTTTAGCGGAATATGGACAACAGAAACCAAATGTGAGAAGGTGGCCTTTTCTCAGGTTAGATAATCGACTGGCAATAATTAATTCTATAATTTAGTAAGACGAAAAAAAATTAAAATAGCACTTTATTAAGCAGATGATGCTAAACAAGAGTGGATATGCTCTCTTGTACTGAACAAATCAAATATCAGGAGTTTTTATTTTTGAGTTATAGGGATCAGGAAATTAATTCTCTCAGTCTGGTTTAGTTTAGTTTTTCATGCTAGGGCTTTTACTTTGGTGGTGTGATTGAGATGCTTGGTCGTATTGAATGTATTGATGTGTAATAGTAGTGAATCAGGAAATTAAGCAGAGCTATCTTTATTTACTTGAAATTTTAATATTTTCACATTGCTAGTAACAAAGCTTAGCCGAAAACTAAAGTTTTCATTTGTAACTTTTAGTAATGTGGTAAATATGATTGATTTCGCCCTGCTTTTTGAATGCATTTATTCGCAGAAAAAGGGGACGAAAAGAAACTCAAGCCAATATAATTAGATTACCGTAAAATTCCGAAAATAAGCCCCTCCATGAATAAGCCCCTCCAAATATAAGCCCCCTAAACCGGTAACGCAAAAACCGTCCGTTAAATCACCCCTCCAAATAAAAGCCCCCCGGGGGCTTGTACTTGGAAAATTGCCCTCAAATACAGAGTTAAACAAAGGAAAAACAGTAAATTTACTTCCATCTATAAGGGAAGCTCAATCGATTTTGTAACGCAAATCTCCCTCCTTAGATAAGCCCCTCCGAATATAGGCCCCTCCAAAAATAAGCCTCTCAAAAAGGACCTTTGAAAAATATAAGCCGCAGGGCTTATTTTCGGATTGATCCATGATTCCTTTTTGCTTTCATTTAAGTGCAGCTTACATGAGGACAACATTGACTCTTATTTGATTTCTAGGAAATGTTGCTTATTTTTTTCGGTTAATAGTTTTTCATATGCCTATATATTCTTTTTTGCAGAACTTTGCTTCCGAGCCTAATGTATTTGTCTCTGTCAAGTACACTCGCAGTACAAAGCCAAATGATGCTATGTACTTATGGTTAGAAAACGCCAATTCTGGAGGATTTGAAGTGTGCTTAAGGGAATTCTTGTCCTTTGATGGAAAACACCAAGATGCAGTTGTTGTAAGAGAAGTATTATGCTCGAGTAATTAAACAATAAAGTGAAAGATCACGGACTATACAGTACTATCATCTTGGATCACGCACTGGTGCATGACGTATTGCATGACGTTTGCAAATACGACTTGTGCCTTGTTAATTCACGTGCTGCGTTATTCGGGGTGAAATATTTTTGTTGTCTCTCACGTCGCGACGTCAGTGTTTTGTGTCGATGTCATATTGTTACGAATAATGGGTAAGTAGAGGTGGCTCGACTGGATTTTTCAGGGGTAATACAGTCCATGTTTGAGTATTTCCTGCGTCGTTGTTATTCGGTAAAGCTGAAAATATGTTTTGATTAATGTGACGTTGACATCTCTGTTGTCATGACAACGTAATGATGTGTTCAACACTGAGAATTGTTTACGGGAACTTCTAATAGCTGTCTTAATGTTCGCGAAGTTTAAGCAAAACCTACCAGAGCATTATCGAGGTATTTTGATAGGAAGTTTTTTAAAGATAGAAATTAAGAAAAACTAAACTGATCAATCTTGATTTGGTGTTTTTAAGGGGCAGCCTGGTCAAGTTTTGCAGAGTACAGAGAAATGAGGTTGCAATTAGAATATGTAATGATGGCACTGAAAAATCCTGCCAACTTTCAGAAAATGTCATTGATCATTCTTGTCTAAAAGATGGCAAGTTTAATCTGTTCTTTTCTTCGTTTTTACCTTTTTACACTTTTTTTTGCCCCAGGACTGGTTTGCATTCACTGGCAATGGAAGTCAACTCAACTTTACAATTACAGGAAAAGAGTATTTTGCAAACAGTGGAAATCCATCAGCCCAAAACAACTATGGCTTTTGTCAGGTGAAAACTACTATATTTCAACATTTAGCACAGTTATTTGTAAGATTAAAACTTTCAGTCAATCTCAGTAACAGTAACAGTTTCAATAACTACTGCACAGTTATTTAGTGGACAGCTGATTGCCAATAAAGTAACGAATTTTAAAAATACTTTTCAGTCTTTGTCCTTATCATCTATTAACTCCTGGGCTGTTTCCACCTTACCGTTCGTACTTATTTTGCGTGTTTCTTGAGTTATATTAATAGTGATGAATGAAAATACAGCGAAACTGTCATTTGTCTAAACATCCAATTAAAAAGTTATAGATTTGCACAAATTCAGAACAACTTTTATTTCTAAATTTTACCTCATGAGAGTTTAGAAATGATGGTTTTCGAGGAGAGGGGAAAACAAGAGCACCCAGAGAAAAACCTCTTGGAGCAAAGGAGAGAACCAACAAAAATTTCAAGCCACTGATGACGCGTCTACGCCGGGTTTGTTCCCCGGCTACATTGGTGGGAGGCGAGTGCGGGTGCCACCCTTGATCTCCCTTTAGTGACAATTACAAGCTAAATCTTGGCAACTCGTTTCGTGTCATTGACAATAATCACTGAACTATATCTGTAAAAGTTAGAACTTTGTACTATGCCCGCTGACCCAACCTTATAGCGGTCCCTTAAAAAAATAGTAACATAAGTACTAAGTGATAAGTGCTGTTGTCGGCCTAGTCTACGCGCCGATTTGAGGTCGTTACGCAAATTAAGGAATAGTTTATCAGCTCGTTGTTTTTTATGGTTGTCGGTTTTCGTGAGGACTCAAAAAGCTGTACGTACACTTATACACTGTATAGAGTTACTCGAGTTTCTTCAGCAAAGAAGAGTATGGCTTGTCTTGAAACGTATCTGCTTTATATTCATTGAAAATAGCTAGCCCTGCATCTTATCTTAGACTGAGAGATTATTCTGAGAAGTGAAAGGTTTATACAGGATGGCCCAAAATAATGGGAAAAGAGCTACATGCTAATTCATCTCCTTAAAACGTTCTTGATTTTTCTTACGTATTTACAGGAAGCACCTTTCAATACGACCTTCTATGAATCGCCAGTTGTGATTCTTTCCGTAAATCATCAATATGATCGTCAGATCAAGGGAAGTCGTCTTCCAGGAAATAATATCATATCGGCATGGGTAGAGGTAGGTTTGCATTGCTATTACGTGTGGTTGATGATCAGGATTATGGATTTTTTCAGTGCTTTGCTGAATCATTTATGCATTAGTCTGCTTGAAGAGCGACCACACCTTCAGATCCAAGTCACATCTCACTCGTTTGGTCAGGGGATAAAGGTACTTCGGTCAGTCTTCTAAATTGATTAATGTTCCCGACCCCGAAATGATCCCTAACCCTGAAATGATCCCCGAATCGACCCCGAAATGATCCCCATTTCTCTTCAGCGTCGACCCCGAAATGATCCCCAATTAATTCTTGGAATGGAACTTGTATTCCGTCACGGAATTATTACAAATCTGTTGCTGCGTTTACGTTCTTAAATCGCGTTTAACATTTCCCTTCAAATTGAAAACGTTACAGTCAAGAACAGTATTTCTCCTTCTTCCCTTCCCAAGAGACCCCGCGCGCGCCTCAACCTAATCCTAAATCGTCTCTCATCCCAAAAAACACTAGATAACTAACCATGTCATATTATGTAATATCCGGTCATTATGTTACTTCATATATATTTCTGTAAATTCGTGATATCTCAATAAACCTGATGAAGACTGGTATTGGCCAGTCGAAATATCGCAACTTAACTCTACTTCACGTTGTTTGATCAGTCCCTGCAGAAGTCTTCTTGACTGTAACGTTTTCAATTTGATCTATTTTGACTGATCACGATCTTTTTGGATCTGACGTTGAGCAAGATTGATCGCACACGGTATTTGCAGTGTTTTTTTTTTACCTTAATTAAACATTTCGCTAGAGTTTATCTGTTTTTTTTTTAGCGCTTTTGTCATCTAATTGCCTTTATGTATACTTTTGCATCTTCAACATCATGTTAAGATTTTAAAAAGTGAAAAAACACCATTTTTAAAATTCAATATCCAAGGCATGCAGTTTTAACATCATTTTTAGAATTTAACATCTATGCAGTTTTCTCTATAACCAGGGCTATAATCACCTAAGTAATAATTAAGAAAAATGTTATGTTTCTTGATATCAGTGTCAGTTGCAGTTCATGGTGTTCCCAAAAATACACTAGACTTTGTGTATTTTTTGATAATAATATTTTTCGGCGTTTAATCCAGTTCAAAGTGTAATCCCAAATTAATGTCATGTGGGCAAGTGAAGATTATTAGTGAAGCTTAAGTTATAATGTTGTGCATTTTGCACGATCCAGAGTTCTAGGATATCATTCCATTCCTAAAATTAAATGGGGATCATTTCGGGGTCGATTTGGGGATCATTTCAGGGTTGGGAATCATTTCGGGGTCGGGATCATTTCGGGGTCGGGATCATTTCGGGGGCTGTACAGATCTGATCAAAGCTATCGTTGAAATTAGCGGGAATTTATATTAAATCGGAAGGTCACATATCTAAATTGACGTTCGATGAAAATCGGACCATGTTTATTTTCTGAGTGCTATCACTTTTTGTTGTAGGAAGTTGGATTAGAATCTATGAAGATATGCGTTAAAGACCTCAGTGGATTAGGATCGAGTCATGATCCCTTAATAGTCAGCTACGCTGTTACTGGAGGTTATTTTTTTTCCTTTTAATATATTTGTCTGTATTATCTAAATTCGCATAGCAAACCATTTAATGACATCACCATATATAAACCTTATGGTTCACAACAATAACAGAGCCCTGGCCGGTATACAAACATGTTGTAATCATACGTGATTGTTATTTTTTTTTTTTGAATGGTGAGAATAACTCAATAATATAATGACTTGTTTCTTGGTACAGATCTTAATCCTTGCCTTAATGTGCATTGCCCTCGATTTGGAGTCTGTAGGACCTACAGTGCGCATGACGCTCGGTGTGAGTGCGATGACCAATGCCCCTCATATGAAAACCCAGTGTGCACTGCGAACGGAACAACTTACGGCAACCGATGCTGGCATAAGTTAAGCTATTGCAAAGGACTTGAGAATAATCTGGTCTATCACCCAGGAAGCTGTGAAGGTAACGAAAAATAATTTCTTGCACCTTGTCCCTTGTCCTTCCTGTCAAGGAAAAGTTTGAAGGTTTTGTAAAATTTCATCGGTTTTGACGCAAATCATCCGATAGTTCACTCCAATATTTTCTAGTCGTTATTCGCCTTTGTTTCGTTGCCTCATTCCTCCATTGCCGTTTTAGTTCAAAGTTCTCCGGTGTCCTAATTTGTCTAAGTCGTTTCGAAAAACGACACTTTGGTCTGGTAGCTTTTGTCCAAGCTGGTGTCATACAAGGCACAAATTAATTTTGCCCTCATGTTCATCCTTTTTACTTTTTAAAATAAAGCTTTATTTTTCTCCTCCCCTCGTCTCGGGCTTTGCACTTGTTTCGCACTTCGCGCAAAATGATGCTTGGCTCATAAGGATCTGGAAATCCGTTAAAATCTTGCCCTGAATCCAAAATCCATCCAAAAATATTTTCAAGAGGTGGCTCGCCTATTCGCCTATCAAACGCCTGTTGCCCAGGCTAACACGGATATTTCCACGTAGGCGGCTTTCTTTTGACACGAGAATTTATATCGCTTGTCGCTGCAGTTTCGTAACCAAGATTTGGATGAACGTCTCCACACAATAATAATTAATTCAGTTGCAATGAGGCAGATGAGTTGCGGTGGTGAATGATTTTGCAAGAAGCGAAGTGTTTCTTTCGCTTGGGAGTAAAACCAATATTGCTTCTCGAAGCACATGGCATGAAGACAGAGTAGCCCAAAGTTAAGCAAATGCTGTAGGGCAAAAACTCATTAAACTCCCCGACAGAGGTGCCTCTAAGTTTTGTTGAACATTTCGTACTGTTTGGAGACGTGCTGGCACGCAAAACATTAAAAACACAAAAATTTTTGCGAGAGCACCATGATGACCGCTGTACTCGTGTCCTAGCAGTGTTTATCTTGGGCACTGAAACCAGCATGCAAAAATAAGAAGCTACTATAAATTATGTTGTGGAAAGGTGTCCGACATGGCAGGTTATAGCTTCGTTTAGTTCCAATTTTGCTGCGCTGGAGTTCTCACACGCTTTTTTTAGCACCAACCATCACCACGGAGACAATGCTGAAAGATTGCTCTAAAGCAAGCTGGTAAAGCTGCCTTAATGATAATGCTTAATTGTTAAAGTGACGCTTCCTCATAATGTTCTTAATTTATTATAAAACAGGTTTTCCAATTGTACGGGGCCGTATAGATTTGCTACACGTTCCAAAATGGTCAGATTCAAACTGTCAGACAGTCGCATTTCCTCCATACCGGTTTTATCCGGATAAACAAGTTGATGTTCAAATAACCGTCAACCACATGAAGCTGAATGACTCTGTGACAATCCACGACGCTGTTACTTCATGGACAGAAAGTATCAACACAAAAAACTTCACCGTCTGTGTCATGCAAACCGGGAGGAAAGAAGAAGGTGCGAATCCATTTGCCACCATTGATTGGGTGGCTTATCAAGGAGCACCAGCCGAAGGATTGACGGGAACGGTTGAGTTGCAGAAATGGTGGTCTGGTACCAACTGCGCAGATGTAATCTTTCCTTCGGTAAGACGGGAATATTTTTGTACGTACAAATTTAACTCATTGTTGCAATAAAAGTATCCTAGGACGAATATCTTAGACTTTCATTCGCCACTACAGCTTTATCCACGTCTTCCAAACGAAGTTAGTCAAACAAACAAAAATAGCTTAATAAATCTAGCTGGATTTTTGAATTCAAAATGAACCTAGCAAAATTTGCCGCCATATGGGTGGAAACGGGCCAGAAAGTAGGTTTTTCTGGTCCCGTAAGTCCGAAAAACACACTAGAAAGGAAAAGGAAAGGAAACATAGAAAGATTCCCTTTAAAGTGAGGATAGGCTAATTTGCCTATTAGCAGTGAATTTCATGTCACGTGCAGCAAAATTCAAGGAAGCATTAACACGCCTTCACTTGTAGTAAAAAGCTATTTTGATTGTTCTTATTGCTTCATTGTTATATTTTTCATTTTTTCAGGGAAAGTTTCCTGGGGCGCCAATAGTCCTTGTGACGTCAGAGCACCTGAGGACTGGTAAAGAGTATGATGCTGCACTCATTTGGATTGAAGACTTAACAAAGGACTCACTTAAAATCTGTCTTCGTGAAATGCAAAACTTTGACGGTAGACACCAAGATATGACTGTGGTACGTTATCAGTTTTTAAAGAAACTAGAACGCCATTGTTTACACAATTTGTGACGAATGCTGGTTTGCAAACTATAATAGCGATATGATTAATAGCATTCGTAACTTCAAGATTATCAGCGAGTGATTGTTTAGTCTAAAGGAGAAAGAAAATGGAAAGTAATAAAAACGGGAAAAAAATAGACATGAATTGCTTTGCCTATTCCTCATGCTTCCTTTCATGTTCTTACCCGATGCGCTTGGTGTTCTGGCCGAAATTGTGACGTCTTGCGTTCTCTCCTTGGTCACCACTCCATAGAGCTCAAAATGCTAAAAATGCTTTAAGGCCTAAAGAATGCTGGGCTTTGAAAAATGTTTGGTGAGGATGATATTACAATATTTACACAGTACGGATGGCATGGGCTCCTGATCACTTTTGTTGTTCTCTTTTTACAGAACTGGTTTGCATTCTCCAAACTGCACAAGCCTCTTTTCACGGAACATGGCGTCATAAGTTTTCCAAATACGAACCCACCTTTGGATAAAATGAACAATGCTTATTGCGAGGTGAGAATAGGATTACTCAATCACGCCTTTTTATCTCATTCATCATCTCAAGAAGCATGCTGTTCACAGCATTCAATTTAGAAAAATAATTCGTTTACTAACATATTACTGAATATTTTCAAAACAGTTGCAGTCATGTGCAGTAAAGATCGCCGAAAATCTCTTATAAAGCGACGAGAAAAATTAAGATGCTGGCACAGAAAATAAACATAAAATGTCGGCAGTTCGTCCTGATAAAATGATTAATTTTAGTCCAATGTTGGCTTAAAAACAAACATCTGGAACAAAGAAACAACAACAACAACAACAACAAAAACAGGAGGTAATTCAAGCTTGTAATGATCAGGAAACAGTGTCTCGAGCGTTGTATGTTTCTTTTATATGGCAGTTCGTTTCATTCACGAGAGTCTATAACTCGACCCCGACAGTGCTTGTCTCAGCCAATCACAGTACGACGGTATCTGGGAATTCAGGTCCGATTCACAACGGAATTACCACGTGGATTGAGGTAAAAATTCTTTCTCACTTAAAACTTATTATAGTGACGTGTCCTGGTAAACAAATTTCAAACCAAAACTATAACTATAAGGATAAAATCAAACAGACTGGCAGAGTGGCCTTATATAGGTGTAGCTTACTTGTTGTTTCGACATAATATGTCATAATTATAGTGTATTGCAAACTGCACCTTATCTAGGAAAGGCATGTGATCAAAATAATATTAGATAATAATAGTAACTGCTGTGACTTGGGTAAATTTTGAGTCGTGTACATTTGTATATAGTCTTAGGTTTTAGATCATTAATTTAAAAGTCGTGTAATAGATATGTTTGCCAGTATGTAGGAAAGTGTCCTCAATTGATAAATACACTCACACTAAAATGTGATCATTATTATTGTGATTACGTGCTTTTCCTATTATTATTATTAATAGTATTATTACTATTATTATCATTATTACCATTATTATTATCATCATCACTATTATTATTATTATAACGTTAACCCATTGACGGCCCTGCCGGCCAAAACTGGCAGTACAAGACTACACTGCCTAAAACATTGCAACTTTTTCAATCGCGCGAGCATTGCCTTAACTGTCAGGTAGAGTATTGGGAATAATAGAATGCCCTTCAAATTGGGATATCCTGAATAGACGCAAAAAGCGCTCTTTGCAAAATATTACCTTTCGAATTTGGACAAGATCAAAGTAAAAATTGTCGTTTTAAACGTCATAGAACAACATCAAAAATCCTGTTTCCTGCCTTCAGGATTTTTTTCAGAAATCATCGTTGCAAAACCAAAAGTCACCATTCACAGTAAAATTCAGTCCTTGTTCTAGTTTAGAAGTGACTTTTTTTGTTCTCCTTTGTTTTCTGGAAATATAGCCTTCTGTTCTAGTGCAGCCTGGCCTTGCCTCGATTTTCAACATCACGACTGCAGTGCATGCTAGGAAATAGCCATTTTTTTTCATATTTGTACAAAATCTACTGTCGCTCTGACCTACCACGGCTTGTTTTCATTTTCAGTTGTCGCAAATTTTTAAATATATGCCGTGGTAGGTCAAGAAATTCATCAGTAGTCGAGTCCCAAAGCTTCTTCGTTTCGGAGCGGCCATTATTTCTCCAGTTACACGAGCAATAAGCAAAATTCGCAATCAAAGTTCATCACCTTACTCACTTCTTTAAGAAAGTGGACTCTTAGCTACCGTCACGCTTAATGATGCTCATCAGGAAGCCACTAAAGGTGAAATATGGCTGTAAAAGTACCAAACATCGCGTAGAATCCAAACTTCAGCGGTTATTATAGCTCATCGAAGCAAAATGACTACGTCAGACTGACGTTTCCAGAAAACTCAGCCTTCAGTGTTTTAGAACAGCACCTTCCATGGTAACCCCAATTATAGATTCACGAAATCCTATGGATTGTTTCTATGTAGAAAATCACTCTAAACCCTGAAAGTCTTGGACGTTTATGGGTTAAATTAATTAAGGAGGCGTGATGGTCTTGCACTGTAGGCTCAAGTTCATGCGTAACTGTCCAGCGCCGTAGCGAGTATGAGGCCAACCGAGGCACTCGCCTCGGTAAAATTTTGACGAATTTCACCGATTATTTTTATTTTACATAAGCGATCATCGGATATTTTTAACGCATCATGATATTACAAAGAATTCAGCAATTCAGTCAATATACTATGAAAAAATTACCATATCATCGATCTCAAGGGGCTACGTACGTTAACTCAAATTTTTTTTGAACAAATACTGATCAAAACCATTGGCGAGGTTAACGGTCATCCAGATTATGTAGCTTGTTTCTGATTATTGCTTTTTAAATTCCACTTAAATTAACTCGAAAAAAAGTTACCGAAAGGCCCAGAAAACGCTGCAAATCGCATTTCCGAGAGACTAATGTTCAAAATTTCTCGGGGGGGCATGCCCCCGAACCCCCCTAGCAACTCCCGGCTGCCTCGGTTGGCCGTTTGGTCTGGCTACGGCACTGCTGTCGAACTGTTTTCCTCAGACAAGGAGCTTTGTCCCACTTTGCATCTCTTTATCCACGCGTCTTATCCAGGGGGAAGTGGCAATACTGCTGGATGCTCTTTCGGGATAGACGGGAATATTTAGCTGTGGTAGTGAGGGCCATGTGTCTCGCCAGCGACGTATAGCCTACATTATTCATAAGACATAGAAAATAAAATCGTTCTTACTAAAAACACCCTTGTGGAAAGCGATATACATTTTTTAAAATTAGATAACACTTTCAACAGGGGCACCCAATGACTGTTTTCTTTAAATTATATGTTCGGAGAAGCAAATATTGCCTAGAATTTTCTTTGCTTGATGACGACTAGAAATTTTACAGATGACCGTCCCAGTCAGGTACGATTTTCGAAGCTTATCTAATAAATGTCCTACGATGTTCTGAAATTTAACTTCTCACATTTTACTCCTCATGTTGGGCTAATTTTCGTAGAAAAAGGAAACCTAAAGTTTTCGGATTCAAAAATGCGATGGAGAGAGGATTAAGAAAATATCACTTTCGTAAAACATTATATCGCGTCTAAAATTTTCTGAAAAATAATACTGAAGCCCTTGTAATCTCGAGAAGCTCAATTTCCCCTAGGATGATGGAACAGATACAAATTTTTTATAGCGCCGCTTAAAATGCGTTTCTCAAGATCAAAAGTACTCTGGATAGCCTAAAAAGAATTTTGAATGTATTTAGGGGAAAATAGTCGTTGGGTGCCTTCAATCTCTTTTCATTCACTCAGTTCGAGGTCCTGAAAAGCGATAACTATTCACACAGACCATGACCATCGTCAAGTGACGTTACTGAATCTTTTTGCAGTCTTTTGACTTCTTCGATATCAAAAGCAATAATTTTAGACCTATGTAAATAAGTTTAGACCTATGTAAACCCAGTTATTGTGTTATATTTGCAGAACATGAATACCTCTGGATTCAGAGCCTGTGTCAAGGAATTATACGGGACCAGATATGACCCCTTGTCCGTCAGTTATGCTGTGCTCACAGGTCTGTTAATTACTACTAACTGTCTTCATTCATTGAGGATGTCCACCGTATGTTTTGACAAACGAAGCTTACCAGATTAACCTGAAAACAATTCGTCTTTTGATTCACCTGCGTTTTTTTTTTTTGAAGAACATTTCACCGGCAAGGATACAACACTTTGCTCAAATTTAAAGCATCAGGCATCAAACAAACGTTTAAGAACTTTGTGTTGCTTGCGAATTCACTTTTACGTAGTGATCTTTCTTCCATCTGGGTGGCACCACTCCAACTGCCCGGAAACGATTCTATTTGCGATCATTTTCGTATCCGCCTTGCAATAGTACTGCGGCTGAGGTGCCGTTAAGGTTAATATATACCTAGGTATTTTTTTTATTTATTTGTATTTTATACAAAAATGGAGTAAGTATGGCAAGGAGGCCTAAAGGAAACTGTATCTAGCCTAATGTTAATTAAGCCTCCTCAATTACTAATAATGTTTCATGATAGATGACATACAAATTACGACGACGGATACAATTATTTATCAAAAGTAAAGTAACAATATAATAAGGAAATTAATAAAAGTTGAAAATTATCATCCTTGTCTGACTTTGTAGATATTTGTGATCCTGGCTGGAACTATTTCAACGGCTTTTGCTATTTCACAAGTACGACTTGTCAAAATTGGACCATAGCACTGGATAAATGCCGGCAAGAAAACTCGGTTCTTGTTGACGTCCAAAACAATGAAGAAAATGTATTTTTACAGCATCTTCACAATGGAGCAAAATCCTGGTTAGGATTGAATGATATTTTTACGGAGGGTTCCTTTACTTGGGCAGATCGTGGTACCGGGAACTTTACAGCTTGGGCCAAAAACCAACCAAACAATTTTCGGGATGAGGACTGTGTGCATACACTTGGTGTTGAATACAAATACGAATGGAATGACGTGAAATGCAGCGACTGTCATCAGTACACTTGTAAGAAAGGTATGGTTTTTAATGTATGTTTAGTTGTAAGGTTTTGGTTTAACAAATTAATATAAATAAGAAATAATATATAGATCACACTAATAGTGTTGGAAAAGAATTATTGGATCAATTGATACTTCTTCAAAACCCACCCCTTCCCCCCACCCCTTGCCACCACACTAAACCATGAAATTTAACGTTTTATAAAAGCTAGTTGTTATTCATGAACTTTAAATCGGACCAAGAAACTGCTACGTGTAAACTACCCTTTTGATTTAGTTATACTTTTTGTTTCTTCTGGCGAGACGAGCTTTTCCCTGGAGTGTGACCAAAAGGGTGACCAAGCAAAAACTAAAGCCTAAGAAATTTATTTCCGAAAATTTTGTTGTAAGCCGAACACAAGAAACTTCAATCCAGATCTTTACTCGAGCAACTCCGTTGGTTAACCGTAAAATAGTTAATTGTTCGTCGAAAGGAACAGCAACACATATGTCTGAGACTTTCTTCTGTACCCTACTAAGTTTTTTAGCCCTACGCTCAGAGTCTGTATGGACAGACACAGGGCGTGCGCCGACGTCATAACCAAATTTTCTGGCATGGATAGGTTTCTATTTTCTATAGGTATGGGCCTCCGCTGCGAAAAGCGCGCGGACGCTCCGTTGAAACAAACAAAAACAATACACAGGACAACCTCTGAACAAATAATATGAATATCTGGTGATACTGCGCAGTACAAACATTGATTGAATTAGGTGAACCAATAGATGAAAGTAGTAACAAAAAAAGGAAACGCGATTGATCGCCCCATGTGAGGGATTCCGGATTCCGAATCCTAGAAGTTTTTTCTTGTGGGGCTCTGAATCCAGTAAACTTTTGCAGTAGAATCCGAAAGCCTGGGCTTTGGAATCCGTAATATGGCACAGGGAATCCGAAATCCACGGCATAAAATCCCGAATACAAGCTTGTATTAGATTCCCTTATATGAGGCGAGAGTAAACTGATGGATAAATGATTAAAAGACTTTAAGCTTTTGAATAACTCCTCTAGTCCAAGAGTTTTAGCAAATATTAAGTTCTATATAAATTTATATTTAAAACTTTTATCATGTTTTGGAGGCCTTCTCGGCCTATCACTTATAAATTTCGAAATAATTTCAGATTTTAGAAAGTTCTAAGGTCTTGTAATGTCTAGAAGGAGTATTTTTCAGAACATGGGAACTAGTTTTCCAGTTTGGAGCTGGATGCTTCAGGAGCCAGAGGTCCGTGACGATCAGAAGAAATACTAAGAAAAAGCAAGATAAAAACGCCTTGTGACGAAAAATATCAATCTGCATTTTTGACGGTTGACGGCAAAAAACAACTCTTTTAACGGTTAACGGTTACAGTTTAGGCCGTTTGACGGCTGACGCTTAACCCCATTGATACCCTCTTAGGGGCTGTTTACATGACGAAGGGGCGACTTTCCCCCCCGCGCAAGTTCACTCCGGTTCCCTCTCATGACTCTATATTTGTTTACAGGATACCACCACAAAATGTCATGCTGGTGCGAGTCACCACGGCGTGAGTTCACCACGGTTGTTGTACCGGGCGAGAATTTCACTTCAGTACGAAATCTCGCAACAGTATCAGGTAAACGTGAATCGACCACCCGTTTCGGTTTGAAATCGGTCTGCCGGTAGACTGGAACGGGTAGCGCATTCGTAACGTTTGCGATTTTGAATCACAGGTGTATTTTATCATCATGTAGTGTACCTTCAAATAACGAGATATGAAATGACCCTGTCATCATGTAAACGCGGGTCATCCCGGTATGAAACGCGCGCTGGTGCGAGTTTACTCATGTAAACACCCCCTTAAAGAGAAACTGGCTGCAGAAATTGATTAATATATGTTTTCGTCTTATATAGATCTGAATGAGTGCAGCAGGGACAAGTATTATTGCCATCGTTTTGCCACCTGTTCAAATAATCGCGGTTCCTTCACTTGCACTTGTGACCTTCAACAAGGTTTTATCGGGGATGGCTTTGAGTGCAACTTAAATTATGCGGGTTGGTGATCTTATGTAGGCTTGGTTTAGCCGTATGGACGAGCTAAGTCTCCATCTTCTTCTCGACAACGGCTGGATAATTGGTCCTAATGGTCCACACCTGTAGTACATTACTCACATTCGCTCTTTATGCAAGTTAGACTCTGACTCACATTTTTAATTCTTGGGCACGATTGGCAAAAAAATGTAACTTGTTAAAGATATAGAATCTGCATTTTAATGTTAAAATGTAAAAAAAGTAAATTTAACTTAACAAGGATCTTTTCAGAGATTTTGTCTCGTGAAAACAAACAAGAAAAATATATATTTGTATGTATTTGTGGAACGGACCTGAAATCTTGCAAGGAAGCTTAATGAGTATATTCATTTTCAAAAAAAAAGCCCATAATGAAAATAAAAATAGGCAAAACCATGTGTCGGATGTCAAGTGAATGGCAGTTCCATCTGATATTCAAAAACTGAGAAATGGGTAGGAATACTTTAGGACATGGATGTATTTGTAGAATTTCGAACTTAATGTAAAAATTATCTAAATTTTATCTTGCAAGTCTTGCATTTCCAGATAGTTTTCTTATGCCTAAATAGGACATAAGACTATTAAGTGAAGTGTCCTTGTAATTCCAACATCCCTACTGCCCTTGTCCTTTATTATTATTATTATTATTATTATTATTATTATTATTATTATTATTATCTCGTAGGAGGATTGACAGACTCCGCTATTGTGGGAAATGATGTTAACTACTTAACTCATTTAAGCACGTGGCTCAAACCAGTTGCTCAGGGCAAATCTTCACGATGGAAGTGTTGTTGGCGGGCGTCCGTGGACGGCTGGGCTGTCAGTACTTTTCATAGCCGTTGTGACAACAAAGGACCAACTGTAACATTCGTAAGAGTCGGCGGGAAATACATATTTGGAGGCTACACTAGCCTCTCATGGGGTAAGTGGTAACCGGACATAGTAGCATGTAAAATTGTCTAAGGAAGTATTAGAAGATGATTTGCCCTTTGATTCAAGAGCATTTTCTGTGACCTCTTTCGTGAAGTGTAAAGCTCTTTATTGCGACTAAATATGGCTTTTAGGCTCTTTGATTTTCTCTAAAGTGCCTCAGGATCTGAATAACTAAGCGATTTCTTTTAGTACGTGACTGTGATATTTTCCTGCAATGTTGTATCACGCTGTGCCCAGCTCACGGTGTTAAGTTTTGTTTACATGATGTTTTGAAAGAGGGTCACAATACAGTTCTCAAATCCCGCCTTCCCGCTATCCGGCCTTTTTTAACGTCCGAATCCCGATCCCGCCCTATTTTTTTTTTAACGAGTTTCTTGCTTTCATTATACAATGTTTACTAACCGACTAACCTTTTTGAAATAGGAGGCTTGGATGTTAAGGTTTAAGGTTCTTGACTTAGCCATTAGCGATCGTAACTCTATTTTCTGTTTTGCTTATTTATTTATTTATTTATTTATTTTATTTTTTTCTGAGCACATCAGTACAAAAAAGAAGGTTTACTTCGATCTGAGTTCCGGCCATTTGGAAACAGCCAGTTGAGTCGGGTAGAAGGATGTTTCGATTTCTTTACTGCTAGATTCTATTAGGCGATGACGCCAATTGTCTACGCTGACTACGGGTCATGGAAAATGTGTATGAACACAATGGTTGCACAGATTTATAGAATGTTGTCTTTCAGATATGGAAAGATAAACCTGGTATGAAATCGAACAGCACAACCAAATGCAAACAACCCCCATGCAGAAAGTTTACTTTTCCAACCTTCTTGGACTTGGTCCTCGATTCTTGTTTAAAATCTCTTTATTTCTTCCATTCTTAAATCGGCACAAAAATACGTGCGTGAAATAGTTTGCAAAACAGTCCTTTTTTCTCACAGTCGCTTTTAAAAGGTGCCAAAATGTAGTCACGATAGAACTTAATTCCCGTATCCCGCTACTTTTCCTTTACGATTCCCGCATCCCAACCCAATAAAAATAGGAAATCCCGCTCCCGCTTATTATCAAAATCCCTGCTTCCCTGCTTTTTTAGCTCCCATCCCGAGTATCACCACAAAAAATAGCCAGATCCCGCATCCCGCCAAACCTATTGTGGACCCTCGTAAGACGCACAGTCACTTAATTTGATTTTAGCGCACAGTCAGTCCAGTCGATGCCCAGGCACTACCACGATTTTAAATGTTCTATTTTAACTATTTTATGTTTTAAATGCTGTAGTCAATTACTTAAAGGTGATTAATGAAAATTCATTTTATATCCTTTAAATACATTTTGTATCTTTTTCATTTGGAATCTTATCGTATCTTTTAAGAGTTTTTATTGTAGTTTGTAATTAATTTTATCCTTATTTTTCATTTTAGTTCTACATCGTAATCATTTTTAACAAGACACCTCAAGAATTGAATTTTAAGGATAGGATCAAGAGACCGACCGATTTGTTTGCTTTATAACGAGGTCTTGTTTTATCGAGATTCTTTTCCATATATTTTATCATAATGGTTAGTTACATCAAGGAATTCGTCATACAGAGGTTCGATATATCGAGGTTCCTCTCGGCTGTAGTAGTAAACAACAACTGAAAAATTCAAGCTTTTGTATAGGGGTGCCGCTAACTGATAATTTTATTCTACAATTTATCGCTCTTTTCAATATTTTTGGCGTTTAGCTTTTCAGCTTTTTTTCAATTATTCCTTCAAAAGTAAACACTTTTCACGAGACTGATATCTTTGCTACTTTAAAGGGAGTTAAACAAACTACTACTAGCAGTATCAGTATATTTTCTTGTCTGTATCAATTCGAATTTTTGAACGAAGTCTGTGCATTGATCATCCTTTTCATTTCTAAAATTTCTCAACAGGTTACAGCTGCCAGTATCGATATGGTTCCCAGGCATTCCTTTTCTCGCTGGCTAACAAGCCAGGATGGGCACCGGTGAAACTGCCTCAGCCAGGGCAGCATAGTGATAGCAGATATTCCATATACGACTGCTCGTCTCATGGACCTATTTTCGGAGGAGGCCATGACATTGCCATTTACGACTACGCGTCATCCAGTAGCAGTAACTATGCTAACCTTGGCTATACTTACAGCCCACCAAGCGGATACAACTATGGAGACACCTTCACCTACACATTTCTGGCAGGAGGAAGTAATTATCATTTTACACCAGACGAAGTGGAAACATTTTACGAAACAACCTAAAAACTGTGGCATCGTATTCAGCTTCAAACTTGACAGTCAATTACTATTACACTGATTAAGCCAAGATAATATACTTTTTTTATAAACC